AAAAAAAAAAAAATCTGTATGTATTTGCCATGCCTCAAAAACATACAGGAATGAGTAGAGTGAGGAAGTATTAGTGTGAGCACCTGCAGGGAGGCACCTAAGGTATAAATGTTCTGATTTGTTTTTCACTCTTTAAATTTCCCACTCTGATTGTTATGTAGGAGAAACCAATTAAACAATGTACTTTTGTTTAATTTAAATGTTTGATGTTAGCATTTTACTTAGTTTTTGAGGATTTCATAATTAAAATTCTGGAATAGACAATATATCTACATATTTCAAAATTTAAAAAGTGCACAATCCTTTATAGTACAGAGCCCCCCAGGTCCCCCTAACTCTCTGTGCTCCTGGCTGCTCGGATCTCAGGGTATTTGGATTCATTTATGAGCAAATCTATATTTCTTCTTCTCTCATTGCCACACAAATGGTGATATATTAGATATGATCTGCTTCTTCCTTTATTCATGCAGTAGTTTCTTCCCTATCAGTGCATGCAGATTTCTTTTTAGTTTTATAATTTTTCTTTTAATAAATGGACCATGATTTATTTAATTAGTTCCCTATTGGAAGATATATAGTTTTTTTCCAACCTTTGGCTGTGAAAACAAAGCTTCAATAATGGTATCTGCTGAGCCCTCATTATGTGCTGAGAGCTATTGTGAGCGTGTTAGAAGATCATGTAACAACTTCTCACTGTAGGACTTTCATCATCCCTCATCCTATTGACCAGGAGACAGCCAGGGTTGGGAATAAGGCAGCTGCCTCCAGAATTCACACTTCTATGTTTAACTTTTTATTTGAACTGACTTCAGACTTTCATAAAAGTTGAAATAATACAGATTTCCACTTTGCACTTCACTAAGAGATCCCAAATTTAACATTTATACACATGCTATTCTGTTTTGTACCATTTAAGAGTTAATTGTAGATACAATGTCCATTTGTCTCTAAATACTTAAGTGTATATTTTGTAAAATGACTCATTTACGTGACCACAGCATGGACTCTGGAAACTAACATTGTTATAATACTGTAGTCTACAAGCTTTATTCAGTTTTCACCATTGTCCCACCAGTGTCCTTTATAACAAAGGAAAAATCTCCTTTCCTGGTCTAAGACCTAATCCAGGGTCACACATTGCATTCAATTGTCATTTCTTTTTAGTCTCATTTAGTCTGGAATGGCTCCTTTAGTCTTTGTTTCTTATGGCCTTGATACTTTGGAACAGTCAGGCCAGTTATTGTGTAGACTGTCCCTTAATTGGGGCTTGTTTATTGTGTCCTCGTGGTGAGATTCAGGTTACGCGGCTTTGGCAGGAATATCCCAGGAAGCGCGTGGTGCGTCCTGCTACTGTCCATGTGTGGATTCTGATCACTTGATTACAACATGTCTGGCAGTGTTCTCTACTGCAAAGTTATTTTATTTCTCTTTGTAATTAATAGTGCTTTATTCACATAGTTAAGACTGTGAATATCCCGTTCCTCATCAAACTTAACATCTAATGATTCCTGCTTGAATCAGTTTTTTTCATCAATCCAAATTATTTATTATGAAATCATTGGCATCTTTTTTTTTTTTT